CCAGGAGATGCTGCTTAAAGTAACCTCCAGAAAAAAAGATGAAGAAATGAAAATCATAGGCTCACTTTTCTCCTTCTTCCTAAACTTCTGAGTATAGACACAAGCTAGAAGACAAAATAAATCCTTGATGTAATCTATTAAGACTAGTCTCCTGATCTCATGTTCTTCTGGGATACAAAGCATTGTAGGAAAGGGTAGATGGATGGTCTTGATTAAAAAAAATATTAGTAAAATATCCTCATCTCCAAAGCAGAAATAAGTGTTACTTTCACAGAGTAAAATGAAATAATCTATATGATGCAATACCTGGAACATTGTTTTAGAGGAGAGAGAAAAAAAACCTTATTTGCCTGGCATCATATTTCTAAGCATTAAATTTTTTAGGGTTGGTTCGCAAACTTCAGGTTATAAGGAATAACTAATTAGTGGGTCATGAATTAAATAGGTTTCTTAGCATCTTTTTTTTTTGTCAGTTGTGAGGCTTAAAATTAGGGCCTGGGCACTGTACAAGTTTTATTGCCCTAGGCTAGTAGCTATAACTCCACTTTCAGTTTCACTTCCAGGTGATTAGCTGGAGAAGAGAGGCTTCCAACCACAATCCTCAGATCTCAGCCACCTGAATAGTACTGGAATAAGCCACCACAACCTGGCTTATTTATTTATTATTTATTTATTTTTATCATCAAGGTGATGTACAGAGGGGTTACAATTACATACATAAGACAGTGAGTCATTTCTTGTCAAATATTGTTACCCCTTTCTTTTTTCTCCCACTTTCTCTTCCCCTCAATATCCTCCCCCCCCAATTGTAAAGTTTATTTCCAACATGGCTTTTTTTATGCCAGTTCTCAGGGTCTGGGTGTTGTCCCTGAGCTTCTTTTACACAAGGCTAGTGCTCTACCACTTCAGCCAAAGTACCACTATCTGTTTTTCTGACAAAGTTTTGGAGCTAGGAGTCTCATGGACTTCCCTACCCAAGCTGGCTTCAAATCCTCAGATCTCAGCCTCCTGAGTAGCTAGGATTACAGGCATGCATACCAGTGCCCAGGTTTCTTAGCATCTTTTAAGAAACTGAAAAAACAGCATGCATTTCATGAAGTTACACTACATATCATCTCATAAGACACAAATCACAATTATGGGTATTTGTAGTGTGCTTAAGAATATATTTGTTCTTTGGGTAATAATATAGAGAATACTTACTAAAGGTTATAGTCAAAACATGTTTGAATGTCACAGTGCAATAATAAAATTCTTGCTCCTTTACAGTGATAAGCTATTAAAACTAAGACCATGAATGAGAATTGGGGGTCAGAGAAAGAAGGGAGGAATACAGACCAGAACACACATTAATCAGCCATCTTATGGTTCTGGCCATTCTTTACTATTGTACTTAACAGAAAACTGTTGATCCTGCTGCAGCCAACTAGTTTCCATCTTCTATACTAAATACTACTCCATACCATGGAGGTGCTGTGCAATAACTCTCCACGGAGCATCTTACCCTTCTGATATGAAGGTGTCACAGCAAAAATATGTAAACACTTAGGAAACAAAAATGTACTTATTTGATAAAGTCATCTATGTCCATGGAACAAGCTCATTTGTCACTAAAACCTACACTGAAATCTTCAGGTATTATCTATTAATATAAGATTCAGAATAAGTGAACAATGTATCTTGAAAGAATAAAATTCTTAGCTATTCCCTCTCCTTTCTTTGTTAGTTTTCAAGATGTGATTTTCCTGGCCCAAAACCTTGGGATGAAAAATGTAACAGGCATGTTGAATCTTCTCCCTCTTGGCCTTGCTAGTCAATCTTTTATTTCCTTCTCCCATTCTCTGCAGTCAACCAGATAATGGCACCTCCCCCCCCCCCCCCCCAAAGATAGCAGTCCTAATCCTTGGAACTCAAGAATATTACTTTATTTAGCAAAGTCTGTGAAAGTATGATTAAACTAAGAATTGTGGGATGGGGGTGATAACCATGGATTACACATGCAATTACATGTATAAAAAGAAGAGAAAGAGATTTTATAACACAGAGGCCAAGAAGACAGAATAGATTTCAAGATGCTGATTGTGTTAGACTTTTCCTCAGCATGACAAAATACCTAAACAAACAAGATAACGGAAGATAGATTTATTTTGGATCGGGCTTTGAGTTCATTGTAATGGGGAGGCAAGGGTGGAGCAGAACATCTCACATGGTGGTGGGCAGGAAACAGAGAGAGAATGCTGACATTAGCTCGTTCTCTACTTTCCCTTTCATTCCATACATGCCCTCAGCCTCTGGGTTGCCACTGCCCACAGATCTCCCCTTAGTTAATCCTAGCTAGAAACACTCCAGCTATATTAATCTAATGACTTCTCAGTCCATTCAAGTTGACAAGAGTAACTAGCACAGGCTAGAGACATAGGTTAAGTAGTACAGTGCCTCCCTAAACAGTACTGAAAACAAGACAAGATTAGCTATCACCTTATTCTAAAAGACCTGAGTAAATCAGTAACAAGTCCATAAGTGCTGGAGTCACAAAAAGCTAGAAGAGCCAAGGAAAAAAATATTTATCCATTCATAACTCAATGGATAGCTTAAAAGATGTTTTAAAAGGCCCTTTCCAAGATTTTAGCAAACAGGAAAAAAATTACCAAACTTATATCCACGAGAAAGGTATCATGAGACTTAGGAAGGCCATTGCCCAGCAATCTGAACTGTAGCTTCCCTCCTAATAATAAATCCCTATACTGAATGATGGCCATGTGTAGAATACTACATACATCTTTTCTAACATTGCAAAATTTAGCAAAGTAATTAACGCTATCCTTAGCTTACAAATGAGAAACTCAGAAATAAGCTGGGCGCTGGTGGCTCATACATAGCTACTTAGAAGGCTGAGACCTAAGGATCAAGGTTTGAAGCCAGTTCGGGCAGAAAAGTACCCATGAGACTCCAATTAACCACTCAAAAACTGGCAGTGGCACTGTGGCTCAAGTGGTAGAACGCTAGCCTTGAGTACAAAGAGGCTCAAGGATCCCCCCAGGCCCTGAGTTCAAACCCCACAACTGACAAAAATTAAAAAGTTTGTTTAACCCACAGAACTAATGATAGAACCAGAATGAACCTGCAGCTTGATCTAACTCTAATATTAAATCTCTCACTGAAGACCCAAAGGCTAATACCTGTAATTCTAGCTACTCAGGAGGCTAAGGTGTGAGAATAAAAGTTCAAACCCAGCTCTGGCAGAAAAGTGCATGAGGCTCTTATCTACAATTACCCACAAAAAAGCCAAAAGTAGATGTGTGGCCCAAGTAGTGGAGAACCGACCTTGAGGGAAAAAAACTAAGGGACGGCACCCAGGTGCAGATTTCAAGCCCTAGTACAAGCATGCACACACACAAAAGCTATACCTCCAGTATTTGAGGCTGGGCTTTGGTGTTCTAAGCTGTTTCTCAAGAAAATCAAAAGAAATAGTTTGCATATACTAAAGATATGCATAATAAAATTCCCAGGTAGTATTCCAGCTTGTTTCTGCTGATATGCCTCCTTTGTTTTTTTCTTCTATAATTGTTCCATTAAAAAAAACTAGATAAAAGAGGTGGCAAAAAGAAATATATATTTAACTCATGTCTCAGTGTCAACACATTAAGTCATGAGTTGACAGATATTATATCACAATAAAGGCACTTGCACCTCCATGTTCATTGCCGTACTATTCACAATAGCAAAGTTACAGAAACAGCCCAGATGCCTTACAATAGATGAGTGGATCAAAAAAAAAACGTGGGAATTCTAAACAGGGAATTTTACACAAGGAATTTTACATGGCCATGAGAAAGAATATTATATCATTGGCAGGGAAATGGATACACTAGAACAAGTCATGTTAAGTGAGCTAAACCAAGCTCAGAGAGACAGTGTGTTTTCTCTCATGCACAGCTCTAAAATACACCTGAACAATTATACAGGACTGTAGACATTCAGACGCAGACCAAAGGAGGATGGATACTCTTAGGGGAGGACACAAAGGCAAAATGTCTATGTGCTTTTTATCATATAATATTTATCTAAATGAACTGCAGAAAATGGAAATAGGAACCTTTTCCTTTGTTTTGTTTTCTTTTTTGTCTTATTTATCTGTTTGGGGAGCTTAAGGGGGCACAAAAATGTAGGGACAAGGAGTGAGCAAATGCAACAGTCTTAAGACATTAAAAACAAACTATAAGCCGGGTGCTGGTGGCTCACGCCTGTAATCCTAGCTACTCAGGAGGCGGAGATCTGAGGATTGCGGTTCAAAGCCAGCCCGGGCAGGAGAGACCGTGAGACTCCTATCTCCAATAAACCACCAGAAAACCGGAAGTGGCACTGTAGCTCAAGTGGTAGAGCGCTAGCCTTGAGCTGAAGAGCTGAGGGACAGCGCCCAGGCCCAGAGTTCAAGCCCCACGACCGACAAAAAAAAAAAAAAAAAACTATAAAATTTGTGGATAAGGACAGGGTGGAAAAACTGGGAAGGGGCGACACTGCCCAAAGGAAATGTACTCATTACATCATCTTTACCTTAGCTTTAAAATAGCAACTAAAAACTTAAAAAAAAAAAAAAAAATTACATTCAAAAAATCCCTTAGAACAAAAACAGCCCTTGGAGATTCATATGCAAACTGTTTCTATAGAGGAAAACTAAGTGAAGATATTTGCGTATTTTTAAATAATTAAGTCGTAAAAGCAGAATTGCTCAAAAAAGAGATTTTTAGTACTTGTAAGTTCTAAATGTTAAGTATATCATTCCAGACACCACACCTTTAACGTGCCTTATTGTCATTACTACATTACTGTTGTCATCAGTGTATTTCTCTTCCCAAGCATCTAAGTAGAGATTTATGAAACCTAGTCTTCAAAGGGAAAAAACAATTTCATTTTGAAGACTGGGAAGGAAATATTAGTGATTATCAGTTACAGGACTGCTGAGTCCTGTATGATCAGAACACTAGCTGTTTTTAGCAATAATGACATCTTACAAAATAAAAAAGCAGGTGTACTCCGAAGTCTCGTCCAGAGTAGAAATCGGATTGTTCTCAGCAGAAGCGCGCGGCCTGGGAGGCGCCCCGCGGCCTGGGGGACGCCCGGCGGCCTGTGGCAGGCCCCGCGGCCTGGGGGGCGCCCCGCGGCCTGTGGCAGGCCCCGCGGCCTGGGGGGCGCCCCGCGGCCTGTGGCAGGCCCCGCGGCCTGGGGTGCGTCCCGCGTCGCCCCGCGGCCTGTGGCAGGCCCCGCGGCCTGGGGGACGCCCCGCGGCCTGTGGCAGGCCCCGCGGCCTGGGGGACGCCCCGCGGCCTGGGGGGCGTCCCGCGTCGCCCCGCGGCCTGGGGGACGCCCCGCGGCCTGGGGGACGCCCCGCGGCCTGTGGCAGGCCCCGCGGCCTGGGGGGCGCCCCGCGGCCTGGGGGGCGTCCCGCGTCGCCCCGCGGCCTGGGGGACGCCCCGCGGCCTGGGGGACGCCCCGCGGCCTGTGGCAGGCCCCGCGGCCTGTGGGGACGCCCCGCGGCCTGGGGGACGCCCCGCGGCCTGGGGGGCGTCCCGCGTCGCCCCGCGGCCTGTGGCAGGCCCCGCGGCCTGGGGGACGCCCCGCGGCCTAGGCCCGGCCCCTCCCCGCCGCCCCGCCGGCCCCTCGCCCCGCCGTGGCTACGCGTTCGCCGGGCTCTGGGTAAACGCCACCGCGGCGCGTTTCTGCGCGCCCACCACCCTGAACGCGTCACAAGAAATAAACTGTAAACGCGATGTGAAGTGCTAGGTCGGAAGACTCTTAAGTTTCGAGTAAAACTCTGAAGTGTTTCCTCAGGCTCTCCCAAAAACAGGACACTTCCGACAAGAACCTGCAAGTCCCAAACTCTCCGGACAAAGGTCGAAACTCCGCGAAGCCCCGCCTCCAGCCCGGGAGGCGGTGCCACCGGCCCCCTCCCCCCCCCCACCCCCCCCACTCCCCACCCCCCCCCACCCCCCCCACCCCCCCCCCCGCCCACCGGAAGCCACGTCCTCCCGCCCGCCGCGAAGCGACCGAGCCTTCGCCCTCGCGCCCCAGTTTACGACAGTTTTCCGGCTGGCTTACGGCCGCCGCTGCCGTATTCTGCCGGGCTCCTGGGACGGAGACCTAGAGGCCGCCCGGTTGTGCCTGGGGTGAAGGCCGAGGACTCTGGGCGGGGATGAAACACGCTCCCGGTGGAGGCAGGGGAGCCGCGCGGAGCCATGGTGAGTGCAGCACGCCGGTCCCCGGGCGGAGTCCAGGCCTCCCTGCAACTCTCGCCCGCCGCTGGCGTGCCGCGACCGGCGCCCAGCGCGGCGTGGGCCGGAGCCGGGCTCGCCGAGACTCGAACCCGTGTCTCAGCGCGGCCGTGGGCTCGCTCGTACTCAAATCTGTGCGGCCCATCCGTGTCCGGGAGGAGTCCCAGCCCCTGGTCCGCCTGCCGCGCTTGGACTCCTTTAAGGGCAGACCGAGGCCGGAGACGTGCTGGACTTTTTTCCTCCACTTGGGTCTGTCGTCCGCCTGCGCTCTTGTACCGATCTCTCATCCCTGTTACTTGACCATATATATGCCGCTTCCTCCTCCGATGACAGCCAGACTGAGAAGGGGTAGTGCCACAGACGCCCACATCGAGCGTTGACAGGTTGGGAAGTTTGCGGGAATCTCCCTCTTAACAGTTTTTCCCTCCTCTAGCAGAAATCTTATTTCCACTGCTCCCGATTGAACTTTAAATCGAGTTTGAGTGTTCAGGGTGGAAACGTTTTAGTGGAAAGGACCCATCCTTCCACTGTAGTAGAGGTAAATAATAGCAAGTTGAGAAATCCTCTAGGGAGAATTCATACCTTCACATTGTTTAATAAAAACTGAGAGATTAATTTTTTAAATCAAGACAAGTTGTGTCAAAGTTGACCTGGACTCGTGATTCGCCCGCTTCAGGAGTGCTCTTATTTACAGACATGAGTCACCACGCGTGCCCAACAAAATTGCAAGTTAAAAATCATTGGCCAGTATATCATTATAGTTATTGAAATGCGTAATGAGTTAGGATGGACATAACAGCAGAATTAATAAGTATATACTTTTTTCTCCTTACCAGGCCAGTACAGTGGTAGCAGTTGGGCTGACCATTGCTGCTGCAGGATTTGCAGGTTTGTTTGTGACTTGGGAATGGAAATGAAATAGGAAGATTGAGGATTAATTAATTTACATATTGCTTTTGGTTTTAGGCCGTTACGTTTTACAAGCCATGAAGCATATGGAGCCTCAAGTAAAACAAGTTTTTCAAAGCCTACCAAAATCTGTAAGACTTAAAACATTTTTTTGCTATCTTTATTTCTAAAGTTCCAAACATCCATGAAATTCAGTGTGATTGCTTTTGGCTCCTTCTCTTGCTTTCCCAGAATGTGTACAAGTTGAAATTTAGCAATAGTACTATCCTTAAAAGAAACAAATGTTAGATGAGTAAGTATGCGTGGGTAGTATTAACCAGTTCTGCTATGAGTTTATATTTCTTCATCTACTATTGTGTCCATAGTCTTGTTTCTCTCATCTTGTCTGTATTGTAACCACAGAGGGATAATAAAGAGATCCATTCTTCCTGTGTGGCCTTAGAACTGGCTAATACAAGAACTACATACTCTGTAAGATGCAGCAGCTTGTGACAAAATGGTACAAGCCTGCAGTCCCAGTTACTCTGGGTACTAACGTGAGATAGTCATTTGAATCTGGGAAACATAGGATCCTGTCTTAAAACAAGAAAAACTGAATATGGCTATGACAGCATGTTAAATACTTTTATGTTGTGATTAAATGTTCGATGTTACCAATACAATTTCTGACCTAGTAAGGGAAAAGGACCTGATAGCATGATGTTCTCCACAAAGTTTTATTGGAGTGCTAGGTTCTTGGAACAATTACCTCAAACAGCCTCTAGTTCCTCTTCTTGAAGCCTTGTGTTCAAAACCGTATTGGTGGTACTTGTACTCCACCTAGGCACTGTCCCTTACTTTCTTGCTCAAGGCTGTCACTCTACTACTTGAGCCACAATTATACTTCTGGTTTTTTGCTAGTTAGTTGGAGGTAAATCTCACATTCGGGGCTGGCTTCAAACTGCAGTCCTCAGATCTCAGACTCCTAAGTAACTAGGATTACAGGTTACCAGTTTCACATTGTCATATAGTGTGTGTGTGTGTGTGTGTGTTAGTGTCAGTCCTGGGGCTTTATAGTGTGTGTGTGTGTGTGTGTGTGTGTGTGTGTGTGTGTGTTAGTGTCAGTCCTGGGGCTTTAACTCAGGGCCTGGGTTCTGTACCTGAGCTTTTTCCCTCAAGGCTAGGTCTCTACACCACTTCCCGCTTTTTAGTGGTTAATTGGTAATACAAGTCTCATGGATTTTTATGCCACAGCTGGCTTTGAACTCCTGTCCTGATCTCAGCTTCCTAAGTAGCTAAGAATTACAGGCATGAGTCACCAGAGCCCAGACTAAGGTCAAACTTTTATCTTCAACATGGGTAATACTCCTGAAAGACCTACATTAGAAACACTATTCCCTTGTTTTAAATATTGGTTATCATAGCTGGGGGGAAAAAGATGTTTAATGTCTTGTGTTGCTATCTGTAAAGCTAAAAGTTCTTGAAGAGTTCTCTAAAATGTCTCATTTTTTAATTGTTTCTATGGCTATATAATGGAAATGCATTTCCTCTCTCAGGCCTTCAGCAGTGGCTATTACAGAGGTGGATTTGAACCCAAAATGACAAAACGGGAAGCAGCATTAATATTAGGTGTAAGGTAAAATAATTTCTAACTGGAATTTTGTGGGTTTTGCCCAGAATTTTCAGGTTTAGTTCATGGAGCCTTGCTGTTGCTCCTATGTACATTTTTAAAGTCTAAATACTCCAAAGTCAAATAGAAGACACGCACCAGGACAGAAGGACTTTATGAAAGACTTCTCAGCAGATTATCACATTGCTGTCCTTTGTAATCAAGACATTTTCTAGGATTGTCTTCCATTTCAATAAAAGAAGTGATTTAGTAAGAATTGATTTGAGTACAGCTTGAATTTGGTATTCAACTACATTTTCGAAAATGCTTTACTTTTTGAAGGTTCAGTTTAGTTCTCCAATATAGAATATGCATTTGCATTTGTGTGGAGGTTCATAAGCAGTTTTTTATACTATTTTGACTTATTGTTGCTTCACCATTGTTAATGGCCCTTTATTTTTAATGGGATCCAGGAGATTAAAGTTTTTTTCCTTTTTAATTAGCCCTACTGCCAATAAAGGAAAGATAAGAGATGCTCATCGACGAATTATGCTCTTAAATCACCCAGACAAAGGTAATCATTAAATTCTTGTTAAATATGTTGTTGGAACTAATTCTTGGCTGTTATAAATGCTTAAATCTGTGTGAACATGCTGGATACAACTGTTTTTTAGTATCTTAAGAATACAATCTGCAATTTAAAGAATGAACTGATAAAATAACTAGTAGCCTTCAATATTAACAATGCTTTTAAGGTCTCCATGTATGATAAGTGTGAATTCCAGTAACCATCAGATACTAATGCTGCTGGCTGTTTATTTTTTGTTTATATTCAACATTAAAACAAATGTTAAATTTTAACAAAACTATTTCATCTCTTCCATTGTATATACTTTGAACTAGAGATTATTTAGAAATCTAAAAAGTGTATTCACTTCTGATATACTTTTAAGTAGTCAGACTGCTTAAAGCACAAAATTCCTCTCAATACTAAGACTACAAAAATCCATATTTCAATGCACAAATCTTTAATTAACATAGAGGTAGGTATTTTGAGAGGATGTTGACACTTTTAAATAAAATAGCAATTGTTTGATATATGACCTAGCAATGTATGAAATTAACATTACCTAGTGGTCTAGGTCTAAAGAAAATTGTGCTAAACTTACATTTCTATTGTGTCTTGCTGAAGATGTGCTGATCTTGGGAACACAAACTCCTGATTAGTATTAGAAAAGAAGGCAATAAGAAAATGAAAAGAGAAAAAGGAACTAAAATGGGGTCTGTTTTTCTTTCTCCCTATAGGAGGATCACCTTACATAGCAGCCAAAATCAATGAAGCTAAAGATTTACTAGAAGGTCAAGCTAAAAAATGAAGTAAATATATGATGAATTTTAAGTTCATATAAATTTATGCGTACCAACTTTTTATAATAAAATGCCTCAAATAAAGTTTTTAAAAATGATTCAGCACAAATAAGCTAAAGCAAAGCTTTGGAATATTTTATTTAGCTTGAGAACATTACGAATATTAGAGTATTTGGAGCTAGTATTAAATGACAGGTGTACACCACTTGAATATATTTGCTTATTTAGTAAATAATTTGGTGTCTGTGTGCTATTTAATTCAAAGCCCCTATCCTAAAAAAGCCCTATCCCAGTCAGGTGTAGTCAATAGTATTATGGAACTCTCACACTGTTGAGCTGCTTCAGGGTGCTAGGATACAACTGGGCCCCCTACTAAGTATTTAGCCACAACAATGATCTTAAGAAATTACCTATGTATCAGTAACAATTCAAGTTTCATACATTAAAATCTACATATTGACTATACAGTTCTTGTAAGTCAAAGGTAAATTTGCATTGTCGAAGTTTATTAGTATATAGTAATAGTACAAATACTTTGGTAAGGAATTTTAGTATCACTAATAACGTTTAGTCTTATCCATAATTGTAGATTGGATTACATTTAAAAAACATGTTTTCAAAAAGTAGCAATTTTAGGGACAAGGGAGCTGAGAATATAGTTGGTTCTAGTATTTCAGTGTCCTACTATAAAACACTGAATTAGTAATTACAGAACAATTGCTTCCTAAGGGAAATTAAGGTTACTGTGAGATTCTGATTATACCTGTCCCACCAGTCAATATGGTGGCTCAAGCCTGTAATCCTAGCTACTAAGGAGACAGATCCGAGAAGCATGGCTCAAAGCCAGGCAGGAAAGTTCTTGAGATTCTTACCTCCAGTTAACCCATAGAAAACAAGAAGTGACTTGAGTAAAAAAGCGCCAGCCTGGAGTTCAAGCCCCACCACTGACCACCACCACCTCCAAAAAAAGGAGCACATAAAGGACAGTTGTTTACAATATGCACAGGAAGGCAGATAAAGCATTGCCTTGTTTGTGTAGTTCAAATTTTTTGTCATTTTGGATATTCAAAAATAACCAAGTATGTGGAGTATTGAAGTTGAAAATCTTTGTGAACAGATAATTTTACAATAAAAAAATCCACTAAAAGAAGATTGAGTGTAGTTTGGTTTATTAATCTTAATCATTTGGATTAATCAAAATGTTTCTATGAATATAGTATCAGATAAAACTTTAAAGCAGTTTTGATAAACAAATAGTGTTAATATGCCCACAGGCAATCAGCCATTAACTGTAAAGAACTAGTGCAGTAGGGCTGAATACCATGAATGTTTTAGTCCAACAGTGTACCTGTTTCTAGACACGTGTTAAAAGACAATGGAAACCACTTTGAAATACTAATCACATTTTTCTTTCATACCAGTTTTTTTTCTAGACTTACCTTTATAATTTTAAAGTAGAAAAAACAGTGCAAATATGTCATCTATGTGAGACTGTGAAGGTCTTCATCTTTTAGATTTTTTTTTTTAGCAAAATACTCAAGTTCTGAAAATGTGCTGGTATTGTGCTTAATAAGCATTCTCTATATATGCTATTACATACACTTTTACATGTGAGGAAAGTTGTTTAATGAAGTAACTTGTCCAGGTAAGGAGACGAGCTGAGAAAGGCTGATCTTTTTCAGATCCAGAGTACTATACTCTTCTATACTATTTTTTTCATAATTAAGATAATCCAACTATAATTTTCTTGGTGGTGCTAAGATCTGTTAAAACACTTGTTAAAACATCTAGCTTGGGGACATTTTTCCTTACCAGTTGGTGCTTACAAATATTTTACACCTTATGCTGGATTTTTAACCGAGGGCCTTACATGTTAGGCATACAACTCTCTCCAAAGAAGCTACATCCCTAGCCATGGAAATATTAACTCTTTAAATGGAGATAATGAGCTAAGTTAATGAAAATACTCAGGGGCAGCGAGACAGTTCAATTCTGACTTGAAACACCACCACACAAAAGAAATGGTATGGTTAAAACAGGTAACAAAAGGTACAGAATTCAAAAGTTCTGCAATAACTAGGTGTCTTTCCAGCATGTGATCTTTTATCCTGAGGGGTTTATGCTTCCTCACCTGCAGAATGAAAGAATGGCCAACCCCAAACAAAAGGATATTGCTGCTTTTTATGGTTAAGACAATCAAATAATGCCAGAGCACATTTGTCCAAGATTATATAGCAAATAGAACTGAGCCTTGAATTTCTTGTCCACAGTTCATTTAAGTTCTCAATGGAGACTTATGGGAATTTCCACCCACTTTAATAGATCTGGCATGTTTTTAATGCCTTTCTGGGCCTATTGAATTGACACCACTATTCCCATTAGTATTTTTCAAGTGGCAAAAACATGGAAATAAAATTTAGTCACTTCAGAAGTCTCACACCATTCAAGAAATACTTGAAGCCTAGCTGTATGTGGTAGCAATATACCTGTAATCCCAGCACTCAGGAAACAGTATTTTGAGTTCCAGGCCAGCCTGGGCTATATAGAGCCTGCTCAAAACTTAAAATGGATGCGTGAAAGGCCAAGTAGCACATAAGCTCATAGTATATTCTGAGTCTTACATTTAGTTATATAGTTTCTAAAACCCACTCAATAGCTGCTCTAAATGTTAGGAAACAGGAGGGGAAAAGAGCAGTAACACTAACTACTGGGAATTACTAGGTAAACAGTTTACCACAAGCTTGTAAACTACCATAATGAAGCTAGACTGTATTCAATACTGTAAAAATGTATGCTCCACTTTGACACCCAAACTATTTAAAGGCAAAATTAACTCACAGGATGCTTCATTTAAAGCATTACTAGTTTTAGATTAGGCTAGAATGCTGGGTTGTTTCTAAGAGTTTGATCAGCTTGGTAGAAATAAAAAGTTCAAATAAAATAGAGAACTAAATTAGAGCTAAACTATTTTAAACTATTTAGAAGACTGGTCATTGGCTGCATTTGAGCCAGTTGCCAGTGGCATACCACGTGTAATCTTAGCTACTCAGGAGGTTGAAACTGTAAGATTATCTCCAGTCTGATAATCCTAAAGTACCAGGCTTTTTATTGACCCTGTGGTAGAATGCTCAATTTGCTTAAGGACTTTTGCCTTAGCAACAGGTTGTGTTTCTATCTCATTACCTGCTACTCCTGACTAAATGATAGGGTAACAGTCCAGCAATTGGTATGACCTGGAACATGCCACCCAGGTGTTTTCTCAGTAATTTTAAATGCAATGTTTACATTTATTTAAGGAAGAATATATAGACTTCAAGAAAAAGAAATTATGAACTGATTTATAATAATGGAACTATTGGAAAATGTTTTTAATCAAGTGGAATCTAAACTAGAAAGTCAATGTTACAAGTCATTTTAAAAGGTACAAAGAAAATATTTCACAAAGAACACTAAAACTGAAAAAAAAAATTCAAGCTATTAAGCAGAACATTGATAATAGGCTGGAATGAGAATTACTTTGCCATTTTAGATAGCATACACTTTAGGAAATTGGTCATATGGTTAAATGTTAACTAGGGGTCTGATAAGTAAGTAGATTGCTATTACATTAACATTGGAAGATCCCTCAAGGTATCATGTCAACTCTCCATTAGATGAACTAGAAGCCAGAGTAAGTGATCAGAACTAAAATAATGGCTCCCAATTTTGGTTTTACCTGTGGTATTTTTAACAATTGTCAAAAGGAATTTAAAAAATGGGCAGTGGAAAACCTTATAGAATTTTTTTTAAGAACATTTTTTTTTTCAGGATTTTTGCAAACCCTGATCAACCAGCCCTTTTGCAAAATGAAATGTTCTGTATCATCCAGAACTTAGGGATTTTTTTCTGGATGTTTTGACTCTTGAATCTGCTTAAGTTATTACTATACTTTAAAAAGTTTAATTGGGTGGGGCACCAATGGCATATGCCTGTAATCCTAGCTACTGAGATCTCATGATGGCAATTCAAAGCCAGCCTGAGCAGGAACTCTGAGAACACCAAAAAGCCAGAAGTGGAGCTGTGGCCCAGTGCTTCAACGCTAGCCTTGAGCAATGTTTCATAGATAGATAATAAAAACAGGGAGATTGCATGAGATTTTATATCATGTTTTACACCCCATTTCTTTTCAGGACTTTTTAGAAAATTCAGATCTCTACTACTGACAGTTAATCATCTGACAGACACACACAAAATGCATTGTTAACATATAGTACTGTTTACTTAATCTTAGTATAAGAATACTAATTATTTTTTGCCTCTTATTTTCCTCCCCAGAGTTGAGGACAAAACTCAGGGCAAGTGGTTTTCCCCTGAGATGAGTGCTTTGAATCTCAAAAAGCCCAAGACAGAAATGACACTATCTAAATCATGGGCACCATTATTATATCAACTTTTAGAGCAGAGACTGTCCCCAGGTTTCAAAGCCCTAGTCCTAGTAAATAGCTACAAAAATTCCAGTGATGGGGCTGGGAATGTGGCTTAGTGGTAGAATGCTTGCCTAGCATGCACAAACACCTGGGGTTTGATTCCTCAGTACCACATATAAAGGCAGAAGTGGCACTGTAGTTCAAGTGGTAGGCCTTAAGCAAAAGCAGCTCCGAAACAATGCCCAGTTCAAGCCCCAGGACTGACAAAAAAATAAAATAAAATTCCAGTGATTTTTACGCATTAGGTGCCCCAGGACTGACAAAAAAATAAAATAAAATTCCAGTGATTTTTACGCATTAGGTATTGAGAACCAACCTAAAAAGTGTTCAACTTTCACAATCCCAGTGTTCCTCTTGAATGTGTCTGCCTGGGCTGTTTCAAACTGCAATGCTCACATCTCAGCTTCCTGAGTAGCTCTAGGATTATAAGCACAAGCCACCAGCAGCCAGATGACCTGTACTTTTATTACAAATTCTCTCAGCCTGTCCATAGTAATACTTGAGGTAATTTCTCCTGTGGTCACTTGCTTGATGCACTGCTTCTGATTCCACATTACTTAGCTATTTAAAATTGATGTTTGTACCATTATACTTTTGTTAATCTGATCAATGTCTCAAGTTTTAAGAGTAATAAAGAATCCTTGCCTCATCAGAAGAAACATCATTTTTAACCCCATGTTGAATTCCTACTTCATGGTTCATTTCAGGTTTTTTTTAAGACATGTAGATGTTGAAACAAGATCTTTCAGAATACCTTTTCCTTGACTGT